CGTGTATACTGCTAAGGGGATAAGTGGCAGCTCGGGAATCGCTACAATCACCGAAATCGCAGCTTCTAGCTGGACGTGTACGAAATTGGCATCATCAGTCAGTGTTTTTCCCCAAAACTAAGGACCCCTCCCTCTGGCGGCGGCGATTAGGGTTTCGACGTGGAACACGATGGCGCTCGCTGATCTCGTCGGTGAGGCGCACGGGGCTTGGATCGAGCGCGATGGCATCATCTCAGCCTGTTGACGCCAACCAGAAGGATGGGGGGAAGGGCTCCCCTCGGTCAGCAAGAACACATCTGGAAGAGGCGCTGGGGAAGTTGGATATCTCTGAAGAAGAAGCCACGCCTCTGGTTCTGGATGATCGCGTGGAAGGAGGCCCGGCGAAGTGGTTGCTGGCAGGCAAGATCTTGCACCGTAATCTGTACCATATCCAGACGATCACCAACGCCCTTCGCCCGGCTTGGGCCAATCCAAGGGGACTACAGTTCCGCTCTGCTGGTCCTAACATGTTTGTGGCTGAGTTTGAGAATCAACGAGATAGAGATCAAGTTTGGAGTGGATCACGGTGGCAGCTGAACAAAAACGCTGTGATTCTAGCGGAGTTTGAAGATTGTATGAGGCCGGATGAATTGAAATTTGACAAGCGCCAAGTGTGGGCTAGGGTTTTAAACCTCCCATACAATCTTCATGATGATGCGTGGACTGGACCTATTGCTAGACAGATTGACCCCAAGGCGTAGCTAGCAAAGTTTGATCACATCGGGGGCTATCTGCGGGCTAGGGTTACCATTGAAGTGGACAAGCCTCTGAGAAGGTGGATATTAATTGACTCAGCCAAGAGGAAGAGGGTTGATCCCTATGATATTCAGTATGAGCAAACCCCTTACTTTTGCTTCTCCTGCGGCCGCCTTGGACACTCGGAGTTGCACTGCCCTACACCGGGGACCTGAGATGCAAACGACGACTTGCCGTTCGGGGCCAAGCTAAGGGCTGCTGACGAGTCCAAAAAACCAGCCACTAGTGATAACTCTTCCCGGAGCCAGAATTCAGAGCAGAGCAACAAGAACAATACTAGGAATTCTTGTTCTAAGGAAGATGCAAGGGTAGAGGTAACTTCACCTGTGAAGAACAGGCAGCCGTATAAGAGGAAGGAGGGGCCGAATCCAGTCTACAAACCAAAACAACAGCTCCTCCTTACTTCGGGCCAGGGCGAACACAGCAAGGATTCAGAAGACCCAATCATATGTGATGGAAAGCTGGACGACAAGGAGGGGGAGGGGAGAGAGTTTGCACGTGAGCCAAAGAAGAAGAAGCCTACACCTGAAAATTCGACAGAGACCGCGGCGCGGTCCTGTCCGTCCTAATGAGATGCATGAGTTGGAACTACCGGGGGCTTGGGAACCCCGAGGCAGTTCGAGAGCTTCGCAGTTTAGTGAAGCAAGAAGGACCCTCTCTTCTCTTCGTCATGGAGACAAAGATTAGAGGCAAGCGTGTTGAATTTCTGAAATATGGACTTGGTTTCAGTGGCTGCTATGCAGTCGACAGTGAAGGGTTGAGCGGAGGTATTGGTCTGTTCTGGACAAAGGATGTTTCAGTTGAGCTGAATAATTTTAGTACCGGTCATATTGACGTGAGGGTGAAGGACTTGAATCAAAACTCTTTGGAGTGGCGATTCACAGGATTTTATGGCGCTCCTAGAGTGGAAAATGGACATCATAGTTGGCGCTTTCTGCGCACCTTATTCGGTATTCCACACTCGGAGTGGCTGTGCATGGGGGACTTCAACGAGACGTTTTTCGCATCAGAACACTTCAGTAGAACACCCAGGTCGGAGGGGCAGATGCGAGCTTTTTGGGAGGTTATAGATGACTGTATGTTACAAGACCTTGGTTGGTCAGGCTGTGCGTACACATGGGATAACAAGCAAGCAGGCCTGTCCAATGTCAAAGCAAGGCTGGATAGAGCCTTTGCAAATGAGGAGTTTCGGCAACATTATGAGTATATCCGAGTGAAGCATCTTGCGGCATGTGAATCGGATCATTGTTTTGTTGTAGCGGATGTGCAAGCTTCTCTGTCGGATAGATCTCAGCATACACGGCAGTTTACATATGAAAACGTTTGGCAAACACACAGGGATTATGATCAGCTTGTGTCAGAAACATGGCGTGGTCATGCTCGCGCCCCGGGACTGCAAGGTATATCAGATTCGCTTGATATTCTCAGGCGCAGTCTTGGTCCATGGGGAGCAAAGGAGTTCGGGTGCCTCACACGTACGGTGAGACAGCTTCAGAAAAAGTTGAATAAGCTCCGGAGTGAGTCTGTTGGACGTGGCCCGACAGATGAAGAGAAACGTACGGTCACAAAACTCCGGGAGGCTATGCATCAGGAAGAGATATGGATGAAACAACATTCACGTGTCCGTTGGTTACGCGAAGGAGATCGTAATACTTCCTACTTTCAAGCACAAGCAGCAGTGAGAAAACGCATAAATAGAATTGCCGATCTCAGGCGCCAGGACGGCTCGGTTTGTGCAACAGAAAGAGAGGACAAGGAGGAACTACAAGCTTTTTACCAGAACTTGTATGAGTCCCAAGGTTTTTATGATGTTAATAATTTATTGAACTTTGTTCCGGTGAA